ACTAATTTAACTACCATCCTTACTCTACTTAAATTTTAATTAAGTCATACATTAAGGAACGGGGAGTACTTTGTTACTACCTCCGTCTTTAATATAAGAACTAGTTTGGTACTCAATTTTGGTTCTAAATATAAGCCTGTAATATATTTTATCTTTCATATTTATTTATTTTTCCCCACGAAGAAGTCCTTGTAGTATTTGCATATATTAAATATTTCATTAAATGATAATTCTAACTAATACACATGATTAGTAAGGGTATTATGAAAAAGATCATGCCTATTTATTACAAATAGTTATGTTAACAAACTTTCTTAATGTACTCAAATCAGTCATTTAGCTCTTATATTAAGAATCGAAGCTAGTATTTGTAACAAAAGAAATAGGAATTTTGTTGTTTTTTAGAATATGTATATACTTTTTGCCGACCACCCATATATTAATTTATGTCCATGAAGATCATTTTCCCCCCCAACACTTGTGACATTCGTATCTTCTAAAAGATGCCTTGTACTTGCACGGAGGAATAAATCAACGACGACTAAACAATAATAATGAAATGGTGGGAAATAATTGTAATGAAATCATCCGATTAATTTGGCCGAAAAAAGATAATCGGAATTAATTAATTGATACGGTAAAAATGAATGACAAGGATCCAATCAATTTGAGACATTAAGTCCAGAGTACCTATTTAATTAGGGTTTGCCAGACAAAAGAGAGAAAGCCGAAAACAATGCCTTCGACTCACGATGCTCAGCAAGACAAAGACAAGAAGCCCAACGTTCAGTCTGACCACATCAATTTGAAAGTCAGAGACCAGGTTTGTGACTTTTTTCTCTTTTTGACTCTTTTTTTAAATAAAGTTTTCATTTATAAGCAGGCTCAAGTTCTTTCTAAGTTTGAATCTTTTTGCATTCTGCTTTCATGTCTCGGTCTCTCGTGTTCTTGTTTTTTTTTTTCCTTCCCAATTTCCCTCTTCTTATTGTCATTTTAGCTAACATGCACGAAGAAAACAGGAGCTTAAATTTAAGCTGTTTTGTTTTCTTGTTCTTCATGCCTCTAAGGACCCTGTTTTAATGTGAAAAAAGATTAATATTAAGTTTACCTCATTTTAGTTTTGGTTCCTTAGTAGGCAAAATAGTCCAAGTTTTAATTGAATTATTAGGACTAGTGTTTTAAATAAAAGAAACTTAAATAATCAAAACTATAGTTTAAAATTTAAAAAACAAAACTAAAATGAGAGCAAACTTGAGAGATAAAAAATTGTATTAACACAAAAAAATTAATGTTAAATAAAATTGTTATCGGCCTAAATGAGTCTTTTTTTTCTCATAAAAGTAAAATCTTTTTGAGCTGAATGATTTTTAGAGTAATATTTTGGCAAATACTTTTCATCATACGGGATTTAGGTAATTCTTTTTTTTTTCTAACTGTTTATAGCACTTCGATGAAAGTACCAAATCCGTATACAGTACCCTTACCCTTAAAATATAGGAGTCAGCACAGTTAAAGATCCTAGAGGGCAGTTCGGACTTTTCAATATGCTGCCCGATCATTAAACGGATTATACTGAAATTTAGTTTTATGAGCATGTCTTTAAATGGGCGACATAGTCTAAGAAAATGATTTGGCTGATTGTAGGAGGGCAATGAAGTGTTCTTTAGGATTAAAAAGAGCACTCCACTGAAGAAGCTAATGAATGCTTATTGCCATCGACAATCTATAAACCCTTTTTCAATTGTTTTCTTATTTGATGGTCAAAAATTCAGAGGAGAACAGACTCCACATGAGGTAACATTCAGCTAAATTATACTTTTGATCCTTAATGCTTGCTTTTGTCTCTTAAATAACTGAAATTAACGGATTAATGTAAATTCATAGTCAAGAAACCAAACAAAACGAAACATGAAAAGTGTATCTTGAAATAAAATTGAAAGATTAAATTGAGATGAAATGAGATTGAGAAATAAAACTAAAATTGTGCTCCTTTTTCATGTTGTTTCAGCTTGAAATGGAGGATGATGATGAGATTGATGCAATGTGGCACCAATCTGGTGGAACCCAGACCATGAACTGATGAGTTAATTTATTGTTAATGAAATGAAGGAATACTTAGTTTATGTGACCTTTACATTTGCATTTTGGTAGTGTTCTCTCTGCAGCAGCTTCTGTGATTGGTTTTTCACTTCTCATGAAATTTAGAGTCTCCAATGCTTTGAGCTTTTTGCAATCAGTAATTTCGTTTCCTAATAATGTGTTTACCCTTGTTCTTGGATGATAATTATTTAGGGATCAACCAAATGTACTCTTTTATTTTTTGGGTTATGACGAAATTCTCAAAATAATTATTTTAACTTGAAGAAGGATTTCTGAACGTGGGGTTTGATTAAATTCTTATGGAAGGCATTTAATATAGCGTTTCCTTCGTGAAGCAATTTTACTATGAATGATATTTAAATTTAAGAAACGGGAATTTTCGATTAAATTGATGAAAGGTTGTGTAAAATTAATGAGCTTATTATTTAAAATGGGGTAAAGGTAGACTCAATACTCTGATCTTATTTGCCAGGTGCATCAAGTACTCTAATTTTTTTATATTCTAGATCGAATACTCTAATCTCATTTTTTTATATGTCCAATGCCACGATATTATTTTTTTTAGTTGCATCTAACAACCTAATTTTTAAAATGCTAAATGTATTAAAAATAAAATTAGGATGTATCAAAGAATCGGATGTTGAACACACTTTTATCCTTTAAAATTTATCTTTCTAAACTAATGTTAAATTCTCAAAAGGTAATCTAATCATAGAAATAAAGTCACTCATAATGCGCACTTCGAATCTTTCCATGTTCAAATAATTATTAACGTTTGAATAACGGTGTTTACGCATGATCGAACTGTAATAATTGAATCACAATAATTTAAATCTGCAACCCGATTCCATTAAAATAGGTCCATCCGTATTCACCTTGAATTTTCTAAATTTATTTATAAATATGAGGTGCTACAGTTTAAGATAATCAAGTAGATGCTACAGGTTATTTTTCCTCCACATCCCACTGATGATCATATGCAAATTCCATGTAAGAAGAACTCAAATAGAACATCAAATTCAAATGTATGAAAGCAGCGAAATCAAATAGAAAACCCAACTCCGCGTATACATTTTAAGAAATCAATGACTAGTTATGAAGAATTTACAGGTTGTTTTTGCTTCTGTGGCCACTCGAGAATTTACAGGTTGGCTATATATACATATATACATCTCATAACTTCGACCATAAAAAATGTCAGAGAACAGACGTTAACTTACAAATTGAAGTTATCTAAAGACAGAAAGGGAAACACCCACGCAAAATTTGTTGAAAACGAAAAAAGAATCTAAAACATCCTAACTTACAAATTGGTATTGTATTTGCAGCATCAGCAATTTTGTAAACCGCAAAGCTCTGTCTGTTCTCTGCTCACCGTCAAGTTTGTCATAGTTATGTTGCAATGCAATAAAGAGTAAAATCTCTGACGGGTTCAGCTCCTTTTCGCATGCACTTTCTCTTTTCCTCTGCCTGGAAATTGCCAGAAATAAGCCCCACAGAACAAAGTGAAGGTAACAATTGGATGCTATCAATTATATATGACCATATCAGCAGCAATACGCGATTCTCATTTGGTTTGCGTCTAATATAAACCTATTAACTGAGAGATGCTGCGAATGAGGAGCAGCAATTGCAACCCAGGAAAAACCATGTGACCCTCAGTTCTATTTTTCTAGAGATGACCTGGGATATGTTTTGCCCATCCTCACCGTAAAATCTACAGAACTTGAAAGCTAGCCTTTCTAGTGTTTTAAGTACCATCCAGATTCATATGGACCGCGTGTTCCTTGTATGCTTGATCATTAACTAAAGTCACTGCAATAGCGTTTGCAGGTCCTGACCCCCTATTAGCTCCAAATTAGACACATCCGCTTTTAGTCATCATCATTCTATTCATTAGTTATTAATACATCTGAGACTTGAAAGACTTTAAATTAGATACCCTCACCTTGCTATACCTTGAACCATAGATCAAGCCGAGCCACTAAATTCACAGGACTAATAGATTGCTCTAGCTTATTAATCTAAACAAAACCGATAATCCAAATCCGTAGAGAAGTACCCATTCAAGTGGCCGGTCTAGATAATCCCATTTATATAATCCCAACTACGACAGTTTTTCTTCCTCTTGCTAAAATCAGCTTTCCACAAAATTAAATCACGACAAGGAACAAATGGTTCCCTAAAACTATCAAATTATTCAGACAATAATTACTTTTTAAACAGGTTGTATCTGGTTTTACCTTCTCTTAAATCTGCTTGTTGTGATCTCTGTCTCTGACAATATACTCTTCGAATAAACTCCTGTAGATGATTATAAATACTGCATATGATAAAATCAAATGAAGGTTAGAGCCAGAAAATACTGCTTGATTGGCATTCACAAAAAATTTACAATGCTCATGAGTTTTGTGCGTTGGGAATGATTATTTGGATTAGAAGCAGATACTACTTGATACAGGTTCCAAACTCAGAATAAAGGTGACTAAGAAGAACATAAACTCTCTGGATTAAAATATCAATAAAATGGGTTAAGACTGAACTATTCAATTTGGCTTCTAATATTGGAAGCCCGTTAGCATAATGTTAGAAGCCACGTTGAATAGTTCAATCTTATTCATTGCGTTTTTATCACTTTATTATTTGTTACAAAAGAAGCAGGAATTTTATTGTCTTTTAGAATATATTTAAAGCTTTTCAGTAGTTTAATAAAGGACAAATCATATTTCTTCCATTTGTGGTTTAGACTTATGTCCAAAGGAGCATCATTATCTACAAAACTTTGATCAGGACCTATTATCCTCCCTTAAACTACACAATTTAATTTTCCGTGTTTCTCTTTTCCACTGTCGCACCAAACAAAAGAAAATGGAGACTCCACACAATTTTTTCCATCTTCCCCCTGGTATCTCATTATGCTCTCCAGCAACTAACAAGGTCAAATCTCCACCAGGCGGATCAATGATTCCGACTGAGTCACCTCATTATTTCATAAAACAAAAGGATGGCCCAATATGCTCCTCCCTGAAACTTCTAAATAATTTATACACCAGCTATCAAGCCTAAAAATCAAGTTGTCACCAACTGTAGTACCCACGGTTTAAGAATACGGACTTTCGTTTTAATTTCTCACAACATAGACATACAAACAATATCTCACTCCTGGACCACCGCCAAGAGCAATGAATATGTTCTTAAGCAGTGCTGCAAAATCATAAAGTGCTTTTGGCACCGATTATCATGATGCTCATGGATCAACAGCACTGTCTACCCTTAATGAAAGACTTATCATATAATCTAAATTAACAGTGTGATGGCCTCATAAAGTTTCAACAAGAAACTAGAGGTATATGAAGGCATAATGCGGTGAGTGCAGCATCAGACAGCAAACGTTTACTTAACATGATATGGTTCTGTTCTCTATATATCAAATGGGAAAAAAGACAAAGGAATACCTTAGTCGATGCCTGTTGCAGGCCATGAAGAAGGCAACAAATCCATTCAGTATACTCCTGACCGCACGGAAAATCTAGAAACAATGTTTGAAAAAATAGCAATTATGATGGTTCTCGTTTATTAAACCACCTAGACCCTCAAATTCATTAACATACAATTTTACAACCTGCGAAAAGAGGTCATTCCAAAGAGAGCGCCACATGGAAACTCTGTAGGTGCTAATTGTTGCCTCAGATGACGATGCCACCGCAAAAAAGCTAGAAACAAGCTGCCATGTCTCCCCAAGAATATTATATATGCTTGTACATATGAAAGCCACAAAACTCAAGATTGCAAGGACAAGCCGAATGGGAGCATATACAATTTCCCACAGAGTCCAAAATATAGGATATAAGATTGAAGTGGCTGCAGTACAATGAAAAATGATTATGCAAGCAATTAGCAGAAGACTTGTACATGAGTGACTGATATCAGAAATAATATAAAAAATGAAAAGCTCCAAATAAAATGATAACCTACCAATGCTCCAAAAAAGAGTAAGGATAGACCACAATGGCCAAAGTAAAAGCTCCAGTGCATCCTCAACAAAATTGTAGGAAGTCTCAATTGCAATCCAAACAACAGAACCGGTGTTTACTGCTAAATTATATAACAAATTCCAGCTTGGAAGAAGAAATCCAAAGAACTGCACCAATGGTTCTGCAAGAGGTTGAATAAGAACAGAGAAAAAGGATCTTGCGGTATGTGTGAAGGCAAGACACCACTTAACAGCCTTTTGAATGTTATGCAGAAACAACATTGTTCCTAAGTACTTAATCCTTGAAACCATCTCCCAAGTTTCTATCCAATCAAAAAGCGGCCCACATATACGAGATGCAGTTGCCTTAAGAACAGGAACATTTTTATATAAATCATAAAATCCAATGATGACAGTGACAACTGAGATAAGTGCATATAAAATTCTTGCCAACGGGCACATCCATGGGCGATATAAATTGCAGAATCCAGGGTAAGATTGTAGGAAGATGACCCAAGATGGAAGGCCAGCCTCTAGCAATGTAAGCAATCGCAGATCAGATACTATAACTTCCCTTAATTTAAATGGAAGGTCATGGTCATTAAACCTAAACAATATTAGAACGTCCTTGTACTGAGTGTTATCCACTACAATCCCAGAAACACCACTAGAGCTCTCGCTATAAATTCTATTGTTGTCAATTCCCCCTGGCATTTCCTTGGAGTAGCTATGAACTCTAGCTCCACTACAAAGGGACTTCATTAGTTTTCTCCTCTTGTATGGCCCAGATGGTGGAGGTGTGTGCAGCATGTCTTCCCTCTGATCCTTATTCTCACAATATATACCAAAATGGCTCCCCGGAGAGTCAACAGAATTATCCTCAATATTCAGCATACCCTTGCACATATTATCCTCATTATCAATAGGTATAGTCCGAGAAAAATCTTCACTAGCATCATAAAAGACCTCCCCTGAAAATATTGCAGATGAAGAAATAGTTAGAAACATTCTTTTCGTCTAGAAATTAAAGAAGGGGCAACCTTTAGGTAGCATCAAGTGATGAAATGAGATGCAGTACAATCTAGAATTAGATAACTAATGTGAAGCAACCACACATACGTGTATATAAAGAGAGTGAGAGAGAGAGAGACCAATGGACTAGAGATATGCATGTATCATTACACGCATTATATATGGGCGTATGCTTTACTTAAATTGAAGAGATAATCAAAGCCCAGGAACTAAGGAAATAAGATTTTGAACATACAATCACTTAAAGATGTACAACCAAATAAGTCATGTAAAAGCAATCATTACCTTCACGTATTTATGTTTGATTCCACGCATATAGATGTTACATCAAATCAAAACCAGAATAGAAGATCGAAGCCAAACATAATCAATAAATAGAGAAAGAAACAACCAAGTGCTAAACGCAATGTCTTTAAGCTTTTTTCCAATGCGAAATTCTTGATTTCAACTAAATAGAAAAATATACTCATCCGCTGCCTTGACTCAACAGAATAATTAATAAGTAGCCTCATTTTGACAGACAATAATTTATGTCTAAGAAAATTGGCGACACATATTCAAAATTCTAGCTCTTGCATGACATATGAACTCCATACACAACCAGACAGATACTTATATTGTACTTTTTTCATATTTGTGAAATTACACTCCATAAAAATATGAGAATCCACGTTACAACCTACGGTGGAATCCAAATACTCTTTCAAAAGCAGCTGCTCAGATGGTGTTCCTGAAAACCATGAAGATATACAGCTTGCAGCTTGAGCAATGCTGTCAAATTCCCATCTTTTCATAGACTTTGTTTCTATAGCCAACGAGGTATCAGTCTGCAAAACGAAACAAAAAACATTAAGGCGTCATGGTATAGACAACTGCAAACAGAATAAGGAGCATGCAGGAGATGCAGTACCTGAAGCTCATTCAAGTAGCTCATACCACGGACACTGGCCCATTCAACTTCAAAAACAATAAAGCCATATAAGGTCCTATGTAATTCGCGGCTCAACTGCAAAGAATTTCTTAGTTTTTTCACAGGCAGAAGAACCCTCTTTCTTGATGACATCACCATGTCAATCAGCGAGAACCATCGTAGGAAATTCTTTGGTTTACTTGTGCTTGGTCCAGAGCAAACATCCTTTGCCTGATTTCTGTCTCTCCGAGATTTGTTCGCAAAAGGAGACAACCTTGACTGAAATTAAAAACAAATGATGCAACTTTATATTAAAGGATAAATGCCAATAGAAACAGATTCAATAAGTTATGGTTTTTTAGAAACCTTAGTAACCATCAGCTGCCACAAGTGAGCCCTCCGAGGACCCAAGTCTCTCAACCATGGTCGATTGTCAACCAGAATATATAATTTTCTGCTATCATTAGCAAGGAAAATGCTAAGGTCTGAGAGGTATGACTGCAAGTCTCTGCAGGAAAAAAGGAAAAAGTCTTTAAAGATGCATTGGATCAATTAAATACAAAAGTTTTAAAACCAAGTGTCACTAAAATGGGAACGAAATCAGGATGAGGTGTGATTTCCTTACCAAGCTTTTCTAGTAAATCTAAAAAGAATTTTCATCGAGTCGATGTGATAAATCATTTAATTACTGTAAGCTGAACAGCTGCAATTCCAACAATGCTCCTCTATTCCAATTTGATTTGATAAAAAAATGAACAATGTGGCAATAAAGTTGACAATCTGAAAAGAATTTAAACCGGGATGACAAAATTGCCCCAGAAAAAACAAAAACAGGGATTACACAAACTTGGGGGCAATGTTGAGGACGCCACCCTTATTCCCCCATGAGAAACCGGAAACCTCCTTCAGTCGATTGTCAACTTGCCAATCACATTGTTCTATTGCATTTGTCTATCAAAGATTAATTGACTCTCCTCCATGCAGCTCAAAGATAAACTTATAATTAGAGCTATAAGCCCACAAATATTGCTAATTGCTAATCAGAGAAGAGAAAGAGAATAAATATCTTCCTCTATTGAGGTTGTAGTAATTATAATCAACATGCGCTAGGACAATTTAATGTAGCAGCAATTGCGAGCAGCATGATATGATCTAACCAAGCAACTTCATCAACCTTACCCAATTTGCAAACTCGTAAGAGGAAAGATGCATCGCCCATCATCACCTTTCCCCATCGAGACCACGCTCTAAGCTCTCGAGACGCAAAATTCGTTCAAACTCGCCATAATGTCACCTTTAGTTCCCAGAAGTTAAAAAAGAAGAGGAGAAAAGAAGGAGGGAAAACAACACCTCCAATCAGCGAACTTGGTCATTCACACAAAATTGAAAATGAACATAAGGATAAAAGACACAAAAAAAAAAAAAAGACCTGGGGTAAGAGAATTCCATGAAAACGAAGGATAAACGCTCAAGAAATCACCGAGGAACGTCATAACAAAATTAAAAACATGGAAAGCCAGCCGGGGAGGAGGGGGAGCAGAAGCAAAAGCCAAGAGAGATGCAGGTGTATACACTGAACCGAGGCGTAGGAAGAAGGGAGGCTGAATTAGGATCAATGAATCAAATGGGACTAGAGGAGAAGACACAAATACCGAAACAATGAAATTATGAAACCCAGAATTACATTAATGCAAGTCAGGCCAATACAAGCGCAATTCAATGTGTCAATTAATCGAGCGTTGGTGATAAGAATTAAATTGCTTAGCTCGGAAGCCGTGTCCTGGCCAAGTTAAAGGGGGAAGAGGTGGAGAGAAGAGAGAGAGAGAGAGAGGAGAGAGAGGGAGGGAGGGAGCTGTTGTTTGTTTGTTTGGGTTTGAGTCAATGAGCCGTAAGAGAAGAAGGCGTGTGAGATTCGTCATTTGAAAAACTAATGGATAATTACTGTACGTATTTAGTGGCGTGTGCGGGTGAGGGTAAAAGGGTAAATTCGGGGCTTGACTGCTGAGATGATGGTTCCCGCCACGAACTCCTTCCACACGCAGAGGGATGTGGAAGGGGGAAGGGAAGGGAAGGGAAGGGCAGCAGAGGCCCTTTTAAAAAAAAAAAAAAATTTATTTTATTTTTATAATTTTAACTCTGTTCTAAATCTTAATTTTTAATTTAGCGCAAGAGTGCGACTCATCTTTGTAATTTTAACACGATTTCTGAATCTTTACTCGGTGCAATCTAATTTCAATAATTTTGAAAAAAAATTATATATTTTAGGAAGAGAAATTAAAAATTTTAAATAGTTTTTTTGGTGAAATAAATAGTTAAAATTACTGGAATTAAAGGCTTGGTTGGGCCAATGATAAATATTTACAAGTACTTTTGTATAAATTGAGATAAAACTTTTATCACATATATACCTCATATTTCATAAATTATAATTAAAAAATTATTTATAAGTCATTCCAAATAAAAATAATAAATATTAATATTTATAAGTTCTTGTGATAAGTATTTATAAGTACTTTTTATGTAGGTAAAAACAAAAATTTCCTCTTACTATGTGACCAAAAAATTGTTTTCGAGGATCCAATCATAATTCAACTGAGTCCTGAGTTATATTGAGTTAAACTTGAAAACCGAGTTGGGACAGAATAAAACTAATTTTTTTCAAAAAAATTATTATCTTTAATTTTATTTATAAGATCTTATTTATAAATTATGAATAAAATTTTATAATTAGATCAGAAAATATTATGTTTTTGGGACGAAACAGGAGAGAGAGAGAGAGGAGAGCGCAAAAGAAAGGGATGTGTGGAAACCTGGGAAACATGGTAATGCGGGCAAGTTGCGAGGATCGATGGGACGTGCTGGTTTTTCCTTCGTGTGGGTCCCTCCACCTATTTTTATTTCCAAATCTATCCATTCCCTCAACGACAATTTAAAAGCTACCCTCCCTTTTTTCTTTCCCCGTTTTTTACAATTCATATCCGGATAAATCCGAACTAATATTCGCATCTCCCCTTATTCTCGTGACATCTTTAACACGTGTCATGCCACGCCCAACTCTCTCTTCGTTTATGCATCTCGAAAAATCACTTGTTATATATATTCAAATAAATGTATTTTAGAGAATAAATCTGATATATTTTAACAAGATTTTCTGTTTCAAATCTTACAAAATCTGCTTTATAATATTTCTTAAGTGTTTAATTTATTTTAAAAATATTCAATCTTTAGTTGGGAAAACACGTCAATAAAAACAACTACTTTGCTTTTGCACTAACAACCTAAAGTAACAAACAGATAAAACAACCACTTGTAGCAGGTGACATAGAGGCTTTTAGTTTATAGATTATTGGTAAGTGTTTTATACTACTACCTGTGGTCTTAATTTAAAAAACTAGTTGACTAATTTGAAGAGATTAATAAAAGAAATTAAATTAGTTATTTGTAATAAATAAATGTTGTCTTTCCTAAAATATTCTTGCTAATCAAGTGTATTAGTTAAAATTACCATTATTAAAATGACTATATTGGAAAAAAATACATAAATATAAGAGACAAAATAGATTGAAGTCTTATATTTAGGACTAAAATAAAAGTCAAACAAGTCTTGTATTAAGGACCAGATGTAGTACTTCTAGTCCTAAATATAAGAGCTGGTTGACTAATTTGAGTAAATTAAGGAAAGAAGTTAAATTAGTTATTTGTAATAAATAGATATTATCTTTCCTAAAATATCCTTGCTAATTAAGTGCATTTGTTAGAACTATTATTATTAGAAGAACTGTATTGGAAAAAATGTATGAATATGAGAGACAAAATGGATTGAGATTTTATATTTAAGACCAAAATAAAAATCAAATGAGGTCTAATATTAAAAACCGGAGGTAGTATGTTAAATTTAGTGGCAACAGAAGACACTCCCTAATGTGCCACCAACATAAAACAACTTCAATAAAATTTGTAGGGATATTTATTTTAATTATATATTTTGATTATTAATAAGTAATAGATAAAATATTTTTGATAAATAAATAATAGGTTTTTGAAGTTAAAATTTAAATACTTGATATGTCTATTCACAATAACATAATTAGCCAATATTAACTGTAATATTATTCATATTCACTCATTATTGAGTATAAAGTACATAAAACTAGTGATACGCAATTATTCACAAATCATATACTGTAAAAGACACCACAATAATTAATCCACCTTGTGATGTATGGAATCTCCAACACAACAAAATTTCACATTCGTCTAATAATGAAAAGTTTAGATGATTTAACTCAAATAATGCTTATAGAAATATTTACAAATTATCCATTAATAAACTCACAATTTTGTAGGTTATAAAATACTCCTCCGATCCTTAATATAGAATCCAATTCTTGAGTTAGTTTTGTTCCTAAATATAGGACCCATTTCTTATATTTATTAATTTTTTCTAAATTACTCCTATGAATACTTCCTCAACCATAATCAAGTAGAAAAAGAAGAGGGGGTATTAAGAAAGATGATTATGGTATTTTAGGAAAAATATGTCACTTTTCTTATAATTAACTAACTTACCTAACTTCTTTAATCTAATCAAATTAGTTAAATGGGTCTTATATTAAGGATCGAAGGAGTATTAATTAACTCCTTAGTAACTGGACTAAACTTTATTAGCAAAATTTCATATCTTAATATATATGCTTGAGGGTGATAATTACGGATCACTACAATGAAAGTTTGAAACGAATCATGCTTTTTCTTTGCTTGTTTTTGTTACCAACCTCCTTATTCTTATTCCTATGTTCTCCTATCTGTATCTCTTTATCTTATAACGTGATATTTCGTGCTGATAAAAATATCCAACACTCTATATATCGCTTTCCTTATCAATTGTGTTGCTGCTTGATTCTTTTCTTCACCTTTTTTCGACATATATTTTTTCCTTGCTTTTAAAATGACTACTTTTTTCTTTTGCCTACCATTTTTAGGGACAGGATATGATAACACGACGACTTTTTTCCCCATGCATATCATTTGAACATTTTTCCAAATTTACTTTGGGAAAATCTCTTATAAAGAATTCTAAGTATATGAAATTTTAATTCAAACACCTAACACTTCAAAATAACAAGAAAAGAAGTAAGGCCTACACTAGCATTTTGAAAATAATATGAAATTACCTATATGCTCTTTTGTAACAAAAAAGTTATGAAACTTGTTATGTTTAGTTTAATACCTGTCATTACTACCTCGACACTTGTCATTTTTAATTTTATAAATGTCATTTATGTCACTGTATAATTTCACAACATTTTCATAATGTTAATATAGCTAGGCTAACTTTCTTTCCTGTCATTTTTAAATGTTGGTGTATGAAACTATGAATTGAGATTTTCATATATTCAGGATTATTTACAAGGGATTTTTCCCTAGCCCTCAATATATAAATTCATGGATTTTTATCATGATATAAGATCAGTGCTTTAATTTTTATTTTATTCTATATATGCTACATACAAAGTATTCATATTAATTAGTTTATAGCAAGATATACTATTTAAAAATCATGAGGATGGCTTATTTTCAGATAATACACGAAAAATTATATAGCTTAAACAAAATTATAAATTCTTTTGGCGTCATCATAAACTTGGTCTCCTATGCGTCCTATATTTTAATGGAAGGGAGAGTGAAAGTGGGGTTTAAAATTTAAAATATGTTTGGTATGCAAATACATGTATTTATAATATCAAAAGACTAATATACCCCTATTCAGATACAATGTAATGAAACCCAGTAAGAATCAATCTCACTAGAATCAAACCCATAACCATATCAAAGGCTAAGAAAATCGCAAACAATCCAATTTGTTGAAGATGCAAAGAAGGGGCGACGAGAAGGGGGAAAAAAATTAAACAGAGCAAAGAAGATGAAGCTCATATGAAAAAAAAAAAAAAAGCTCATCACCGCTAGAAAATAGAAATCGAAGAAGCTAACACCAGAAGAGGGATGGTGAAGCATATAAACACTTGATGGATGTCATGGTTGATGATCGTGGTTGGGTCAAAGAAGGCAAGAGGGATCTTGGGCATGTTTGTTTCTGTTTCTTGGTTCTAAATTTTTTTTATAAAATTGTTTTTTAAAGCAAATTTTGGGGGGAAAAAACAACAATAATTGTTTGACAAATTTTTTTCAAAAATTATATTTGAAAATAAACACACTGAGATTAGAAGGTATAACTTTAATAAAAACTCAAGTCCTTATATGGGAAAAAAAACCCATTGAGTGGAGAAGAAAAAGCTTCCCGTTTTTTCCAGATAAAAAAAAAAGAAATACAAAAACAAAAAACAACTAAAAATTGTTTTAAAACAAATAACAAAAACAAGTTTTTCTATTTTTATGTTTTTTAAAAACAAAAAAAAAAACTGCTTTCAAAGCAAGAAAACAAACAAGCCTCCTGATTCCCTGGAAGTTTGAGCATCTCCATAGGGTACCATGAAAGTGCGTTCCATCAAATTTGGT